CTTCACTTCAAGAGTTACTGTTGCAAAAATCTCATGGAGGAGGATTGATGGCACACTTTGGTGTATCCAAAATATTGAGTTGCTTCCAAGAGCATTTTTACTGGCCTCATATGAAAAGAGACGTGGAGAGCTTGTGTGCTAGATGCGTGGAGTGCAAGCAAGTTATATCGAAGGTGCAGTCTCCTGGATTGTACACACTTCTACCCATTCCATTGGCACCATGGGTAGACATTTTTTTGGATTTTATGCTGGGTTTGCCGAGGACTAGGAGAGGACGAGATTCTATCTTTGTAGTAGTGGATCGATTTTCAAAGATGGCACATTTCATTCCATGCCATGAGACTGACAATGCAGTTAATGTGGCAGATTTGTTCTTTAAAGAGATCTTGGGACTGCATACCATTGTGTTTGATCGAGAATGCAACTTTCTTGAGCTACTTTTGGAAGATGTTGTGAATCAAGCTTGGGACGAAACTCTTGTTTTTTACTACTTGTCATCCTTAAACGGATGCCCAAACTGAAGTGGTGAATCGAACTCTGTCCAAATGTTGCAAGCCGTAATCAAGAGAAACATCAAAACTTGAGAGACTGCCTACCACACGTGGAGTTTGCCTAAATTTTGAACACTAAACCTTTTGAGCTCGTGTATGGGTTCACTCCGCTTACACCATTAGATTTGACATATTTACCTTTGAAGGAGCAAATAATCATGGATGGAGGCATGGAGCCAAGAAGGCCGAGTATGTGAAGAATCTCCATGAGAAGGCACGATCAAACATCGAGAGGAGAACCGAGCATATTGTAAAGAGTATCAACAAGCATAGAAAGCCTCGACACTTCGAAGCAAGAGATTGGTTGTGGATGCATATGAGGATAGAAAGATTTCCCCATCAAAGGAGATTCAAGTTGCTCCCAAGAAGTGAAGGTCCCTTTTAAGTGATTTCTCAGGTTGGGAGTAATGCCTACAAGCTTGACCTACGAGAGGAGTATGCGATAACTGCAACTTTCAACGTTTATGGATGATGATTCGGATTTGAGGGCAAATCCTTTTCAAGAGGGAGGGACTGATGAGGTCATCAATACCAAGCCTGTTTAAGAAGAAGGCCCAATGACTCGTGCCAAAGCTAAGACTCTAAGAGAGCAAATTGCAAGTTATTTTGGTCCAGAATTGAAGGATATGGTTGTGGAGTTATATGGAAGAAAGCCCATCACATTGCTACGATTTATAGACCAGAATGAATAGAAGATGGGATTGGGAGAAGTGAAGAAGGGTTTGGCCTAGAATCTCCATGGTGTAAAAGGAATACAAGTGTGAAAGAAATCATAGGTGTGAACACAAGAGGCGGGGCTAATGATAACTAGCCTTTGATTGAAGGTCGTGCCAATTGAAATAGGTAATCCGAATTGGTATCCAATCGATTCCCATGTTCCGATCTTTCCATTTTTTTACCCATTTCTTGGGGAGGGTCTCCCAACTATATTTAAAAATGAATTGGATAGATTCTAAGGTTGAATGAGTCAAACTTATTTACATTTCCTTAAGGATTTGACTTAGTCTTTTACTTGTTTGGTAAATATTTGTTTCCTTTTACTTGTATGATTTGGTCATTTGTTTGCTTTCTTTTTATGTTTTGGATTTGAGTTTGAGAGTCTATAAATAGGGGGCCGAGTTCCCCATTGTAATCATCAAGCTTTCATTTAATCAAATAAAAGTGAGTTTATCTCGTGTTCTTTAAGAATGTTTTCTTAAATTCTCCTTTGAGAATTCAGGAGGTTTGAGTGTCTCTTACCAACTAGAAGATCACATCTAGTTATGGTGAGTTCGACTATATCGATTGACCCTTCACATAGGGTCGGGATTGTTTGATCGATTTTCCACGATTATCCTTTATTATTGTGTTGTTGAAGAAATAAGAAAAGGCCTATAAAAAGTTCAACGTGTGCAACCCTGTTGTTTTGGTCCGAATTCGAGGTTCTCTTCGAATTATGGTCATATTAGCCTGTAATTGACGAAGATGATTATGATGAAGAGTCGAAAGTGGGTTGACCTCTACAAAGAAGAAAGAAATTGGTGGTTGGGGTACTTTTTGTGCTATGGGTTTTGTGTGGCGTGGCAGCGTTAATTTGCACAGATCTGGGTGTTGGGAAATTTTTTTGGATGTTTTTTAATTTGATGGGCGTTTATTTGTAAAGATTCTCGAAGGTAGTAGGAGGGGTGGACATAGAATTTCAGCACCACTGCCTTGTTTTCTAGCGGCATGGACTGTAATTCCTCCACCATCGCGACATTGATGGTTTCAACGTTCAACGTTTATTCTTGATCCCGACGTCATGCTATGAGATCAAACTCGTAAGGGATTTTAATAATGAACTGACGAAAAGTGGAGAAAAAGTTTTGAATTCCTTCTTTGGGATGACTCAACTTCATGCTTTTTCTCGAAGTTGACCAACAGAGGGTAGACACCCACCAAGAGTATGAAAGTGCAGAAAATTGATAGAGAAATATATATTTGTTAACTTATAAGTAGAGAGGTATGAAATGCTATTAACCATATAGAAATAAAACGATGAGAACTAGGTTTCAGGCCTGCAAGAATAGTGGTTTGAAGCCCATGAAGCGAATGATTAAAGCCCATCCTAAAAACATAAATTAGATTTGGGCCTAGCATAATGGACAGAAGAACTAAAGGGTCTATATCCTTTGCCGACCGCTTTTTCACGAACTGGTAAGGTTTGGACCTAGATCAGATGAGAGAAAGGGATCCAGAAAACTCCCACTATAAATTCTAACGCTTCAACTTCCGCTCAACCCTGCCTCCCAAAACCCTAGAGTAAGTAGCAATTCCGCAGAGGAACACTCCTTCGCCAAACCAGAAAATGGCCGCCGCCGCCCGTCCCCTCGTCTCCGTCCAGGCCCTACCTACAATGAACGATATGGCCGCCGATTCCCCGGCCACCGTTCCGCTACCCGACGTCATGCGGGCCTCTATCCGACCCGACGTCGTGAACTTTGTTCACTCCAACATGTCGAAGAACAGCCGGCAACCCTACGCCGTCTCCAAGAAGGCCGGCCACCAGACCTCCGCCGAGTCCTGGGGTACCGGCCGTGCTGTCTCTCGTATCCCCCGTGTTCCCGGTGGAGGAACTCACCGCGCCGGTCAGGGAGCCTTCGGAAACATGTGTCGAGGCGGTCGCATGTTCGCTCCGACCAAGATCTGGCGCCGCTGGCACCGGAGGATCAACGTCAACCAGAAGAGGTACGCCGTCGTTTCCGCCATCGCCGCCTCCGCAATCCCTTCTCTGGTGATGGCTCGCGGCCACCGGATCGACACTGTCCCCGAGCTGCCCCTGGTGATTAACGACTCTGCCGAGGGGGTTGAGAAGACATCCACCGCCATCAAGCTGCTGAAGGAGATCGGAGCTTATGCTGATGCTGAGAAGGCGAAGGACAGCGTTGGGATTCGTCCTGGAAAAGGTAAGATGAGGAACAGGAGGTATATTTCTCGCAAGGGACCTTTGGTTGTGTATGGAACTGAAGGCGCTAAGCTGGTGAAGGCCTTCCGCAACATTCCTGGAGTGGAAGTGGCCAATGTGGATCGTCTGAATCTTTTGAAGCTTGCCCCTGGTGGCCACTTGGGTCGATTTGTCATCTGGACTAAGTCGGCTTTTGAGAAGCTTGACTCCATCTACGGCTCCTTCGACAAGCCTGCTGAGAAGAAGAATGGTTATGTGCTGCCTAGGGCTAAGATGGTGAATGCTGATTTGGCTAGGATTATCAACTCTGATGAGGTTCAGTCTGTGGTGAAGCCCATCAAGAAGGAAGTTAAGAGAGCACCATTGAAGAAGAATCCTCTGAAGAACTTGAATGTGATGCTCAAGTTGAACCCGTATGCCAAGACCGCTAGGAGGATGTCCTTGTTGGCCGAGGCCCAGCGCGTGAAGGCCAAGAAGGAGAAGCTCGATAAGAAGAGGACTCCCATCAGCAAGGTATACGATCATTTTCACTTAGTCTATTACATAAATTTAAGGGTCATGGGATTGATTTCATGTAATTGGTTTCTCCACATTGTTGATATAGTCAAATAGGATCTAGGTGTGTAGTGTAGTATGACTTTTTAAGTTTTAACAATACAAGCTTCACACTATTCCTGTTTTGGTTGGTATAATCAAATAGGATCTTAGCCTTTTTGTTGTTGGATGATAATAGTGTTGGTCTTATGCTGCCAGTAGCATACTGAACGGAAAATGGTATTTAGGCAATTGAATTATGGTCTAAGATATATACATATAGAGGTATCTAATTTTTATGTTCTATTGCTTTTGGTATTGGATGCCTTTGGTATTTGAAGTTCTAGGTTTGGTTAGCCTAGCTGTTTGGAATTCACAATCAGCTGATTAAGTTGAACCTGGGCTAGGGTTTCATTAAAGTTGGATTGGAAGAATTTCTTGAACCAGTATAATGCTGTTGTCCCATATTGGTTATTGTTGTAATTGCTGGCAGTGCCAAACCTTGTTGTTTGCATTTGTTCCCCAATGCAAAGCAAGCAGTTGATCTGTTTTGGTTCTGAAATTGTTGTGTTAGTATAAACCTCCTAATTATTACGTTAATGAGTATTGGTATATCCTGCATGACAAAAAAAAGAAGTGTATATGTTATAATAACTATATATGTGACTGATGCTTTCTCTTTTACTTTGTTACGTCTCTGTGTCTCTGAATTTCGGTAATACTCATCTGTTTCCGGTTTGTCATTCTGGGGGTGACTTTGGCAGGAGGAAGCGTCTGCTATCAAGGCTGCTGGAAAGGCCTGGTACCAAACTATGATTTCCGAGAGTGATTACACCGAGTTCGAGATCTTCTCCAAGTGGCTCGGGGTTTCCCAGTAAACCTGTGGTAGTTTGCTTGTTTGAGTCGAGCTTTATCCGTTGTCTACAAGTTTTGTTTGTTGGATGTTAGGAATTTTTATTTTGGTGGAGGAGGTGAATGACAAGGTGGTTCCTTATTTCAGGAGGATTATTACTATCATTTACATTACTATCATCGTTAGTTGTTTTATGGTATGTTATTATGTTATAATGAGATGTTACCAGTGTACGGTTCTTTGGTTTGCCAGTCTTGGGACGGCTCATCCCTGCTTTGTTTGAGATTAATTACCTTGCTAGGCTTAAAGGGTGCTTGATTACATAGAATGCATATACCTGCTTTGTTTGAGATTAATTACCTTGCTAGGCTTAAAGGGTGCTTGATTACATAGAATGCATATACTGGTGTGATGTTCTGTGTCCCCCTTTTGGTTTCTGGTGAAAATGGTGAGATTGCCATGTTCTTCAGCATCTAATTGAATAGAGGATGTAGTGGTTTGGATGGTTTGCCTTGATTCTAGCTACAAGAGAGAAATGTTTCTTCAAATACCCTTTGTTGATCTATCATTTAGCTACTAATCTATCCTTGCTCCTTGTGATCTGTCCTAACTCATCTGTTTTGTTTATGAAAATCCATGTAGTTCCAAATTCCAATCATAGGCACATTTATGGGTCGAGGGACTAGTTCTCAGACTTGTACACATTCAAATTGGTTTAGCTCTACTTGCATAGCAAGATTTCAATATTCATCATTTACATTTTCCTTGAACATTATTTGGTTAGTTGAGGACAGAAGTGCACAATAAAATGCAGAAATTGCTAGTAGATGTTTTGCTCTGGCTCTAGTTACAAGTTGAGTTTGTAGATCACATATCAACTGCAGAGCTAGATGTCGCTTCTGAATATGAGGTGCAGGACTGCTCATAGCTCATAGCTCCTTCCTCTTCATTTTCAATTTTTATACGAGTGGGAGGTTTTTTCTTTAGCAACATTTTCTATAGTGTGATTTTCTTGTTGATCACTAACTATCTGTGATGGAATTTGGGTTCTTTCACTTTGTCAGTTCGTTTATTAAAGATTCTATAGGGATTACTTCTATTCGAGCAGCCTTAGAAGATTGTAGAATCAGATTTTGTATCGAACTTTCCTGGATGATCTTTAGTGTTCAAAATGAAGCAATTACATCCAAAGGGGTGAAAGTAGCTCAAGGTCGCTCGCTAAGTGAAGGATTCTCCCAGCTAGATGAGAAAGAAATGGAGACTCGAGGACATCACCTTATCCACCATTATGTCGACTTGCTGTCATACTTGATTAGTTCGTCAAGAGTTGATGGTGTTGGGCTCTATGATGGGAATGGTCCTGCCGCTGAAAACCGAGCAATAAGGTTGTTGTTGGGGAAAACAAGGGTAATTGATGGAGGAGTTCCATGGGTTGAAGTCTATTGAAGACTTGTTCAGACAACTCGTGTAGGCGCACAAGGTCGAGGATGCTATGAACTTGTTAGAAACACATTTATTGCTTATTTTTTTTCCTTTGAGATTATTTATCGATTTGCGACGTTTGCGATTCTTCGGAGAATTTTGGTAATAATAATAAGGGAGTAGTTTGTCATGTCATATTAGTGGGGTATGAAATAGTTATTAGTAGGACTATATAATATGTAATTAGTGAGATTTACTCATTAAGCAATTACAGACGAAATTATCAAACCCTAAGCTCTTCCTCTCTCTTCTCTCTCTCCTGCGAGATTCCTCTCTTCTTCCCTAGTTGCTGTCGCAGCTTCCCATTTTCTTTCTCCTCTTATTCTTCACTTCAATCCCAATCCTAATCCCCAGCTAGATCAATGTTTAATGGATCAAGTTAATTCCCTCAATCCTACACAAATTCGTTAACTCCTTGATCTCGGTTTCTAATATTTGGTATCAGATCCTGGTTGGCGAGATCGAGTTCGTCACAACTCTCCACCGGACCGATTTGAAGAAAGCTCAATGATGCACTATCGGGTTTTGGAAGAGACACTAGTTGAGCCCAACATGTGTGGCGTCGTTCATTGCACTATCGGGTTTTGGAAGAGACACTAGTTGAGCCCAACATGTGTGGCGTCGTTCATTGCACTATCGGGTTTTGGAAGAGACACTAGCTGAGCCTTAGTGAGGTACTCCTACAAGGTGATGCTAGTTCCTCTCTAGTACAAGTAAAAGTTTCACCCGTAGAACTGAACACCTACTCGATGATGTGTTTTTAAGGGCACGGATAAAGCTTCCAACCCCCCTTAAATTCATTGATCCTCCACACGAGTTAAGGTAGAGGAGTAAAAAGAAGTACTCTGACAAGTAACAGAGATACATTACTCTTGGTCAACCAATAAGGGTCGACCTTGAAAAATACAGATTGGAACCCCGCCGATGAAAAGGAATGGAAAAGAAAAGAAAAGAGTAAGGAAAAAGGGGTTCCAACGAATCTAATGAAAGAAAAAGAGCACCCGAAAAGATGAGTCGATGGTTCTGTGTGTAGAAAGTCTCTTCGTCCACTAATCATTTGTCTTAAGTCTAGTGTTTTGCATGATCCCAACTCGGGACTAGAGTTCTCGGCGAGGGAGTTAGGGGATGTCTTGTGTATCGGCTGACCTCGTAAATCACTATGTGGTCTAGAAAATCCACCGTCGACGATGGTGGTTGAATGTTGTTGTAGAGGTCTGGTGAGCTGCATTGGTTTGAGTTAGGTTTGTTTGGGGATAAGCAAATAGTTAAGTGTGGGGAATTTGATCGCTTGAATATTTGCACATGTTTTCCCCAACATTCTTAAACTGTTTGAGGTTCGATTCTCTTATTTTTAATCGATTTCACGCTAGGTTGTGCTTTTACGTCGTATTTTAGGACCTGGATAAAAAATGAAGGTTTGGGGGCAAGTTTTAGGTCAAAATAGAGAGCGGGTGAGATATGGGAGATGGAGGATCCGATTCTCCGGTCAGGCTATCCAATCCTCGATCGGGGATCAGCATCAGAGACTGCGGTTGGCAATCAGGATACCCTCCGGTCGGAATGATTCATTCCCCCGATTGGGGATCAGGAGTAATGGTCGGGGAATCTGCCCTTTGCATAATCAGTGGACACACGGCATTTTGAAGATCCTCGGTCAAGCATCCAATTCCCCGATCGGGGAGTATGATCGGAAAAGGTCGTATCGCTTTTACACAAGCTGAACTCGAGATGTTGGAAAGGAGATCAATTTTGGATAGCTGAAACAGAGTTTTAGGAAGAGAAAGTGACGAAGAGTGATCCCTGAGAGCTCTAGATCAAGTCTTCCTACCATCGGAGTCGATTCAAGCCTTAAGAAGTGATGATTAACAACTTGGAGAAGATTTCTTCCGTCTACACGATGAGCTCTACATCCAACATTGCTTTTCACTCTCTTTCTATGGAGTAATCCCCTCTATCACTTTGGAATGTAAGAATCCTAGAGTTGTATGTTATGAAGAGTTGTATGAACCCTTTGTCTTGAATGATTGATTATCTTTTATCCAATTGAGCCATTATGCAGAATGCATGAGTACTTATCAAATTCCTTGATTCCTACTTTAACCTATAATGATAGTCTCTACATAGGTTAAAAGAGCAATCTGAATTGGAGGTAGTGAATCGACTACTTTAGTAGAGAAGTCTATTCACTGCTTTGTAATGGTGTAAAACCTAGTAGAGGAATAAGGTGGGTTAGCTGATACCGGTGGAGGTAAGTCGCCCACTGGGCATTCTAACTAAGAGGGCCTAGAACACTTTAGTAGAGAGTCTAGACCGTCTGAGAACTTTCCGCAATAAAAGAATCAATCAAATTGAGTTGGGAGACTTACAATTTGTCCTAACAGATCTAGGGGGACTCATACCTGAGTGAGCCTTCTTAATATGAGAACAACTGTTTGCTTTATTTCTTCTTGTTTTAGTTTAAAAATCAACTTCACTTGACTTTCACGGCTAGATATTAGAATTGCACGAGTAACCAGTACACCTAGAATCTTGGCTGACATTTAGAACCTGAACCACTATATTGCATTCCTAGATTACGAATGTACTTCGTCGTACTTTAGTTGTGTTGGTAAAAGCGAGTCAAAGTTCCTTATTCACAACAGGTACCTTGCAGACGAATGATTCATAGCATACCCCTCCATGTGAGGGTGGTCGCCACTGACAAAAGGGAAAAATACATCAGCAGTATTTTTCAGGGATGTCGGAATCCCGAGAGATACATTTATGGTCTTGTTGTTCATGGATCGCTATGACTCATATTCAATCGATCAGGCATAGAGACTTTATCCTTCCAGGGTATATATCCCTCACAATGGGTTACACATTTATATCCCATGCACTTACATTTCCTTATCCCTCATCCCTTTATAGAGTTTCCTTCACTAACTTGGTCGTCGGAGAGCATACTCGGGGCACTCAGCCTAGGGTTTGTTCTGCCTTATAGGTCAGTCGACCGAGAGCCGATTGGATAAAATGCATGCACCATCCCAAGAGGATGATGGCTCCGAAACAAAATTATAATGATCTAGTTCTTTTACCGAAGCCGACCCAAAGCACCTCGCCCCGAACATTAGGTCTTGTAACTTCAACCAAGGATTGTGAAATCGTACTGGAGTTATACCGAAAAAGTTTATAGTAGGATATTATGTAGTAAAATCATGTTTTAACCGCAGTTCAACTATTTCCTACCACTTAAACCGTCTACCTTTTAAGACCCGATATCCAGTACTTCCTATTTGACCGACAGGTATGGTAGGTTCCTTAATCAATGCTTCAAACTAAATCAGTTAAGTTTTTCAAGTTACACATCCATATTTTCTAAGATAATTTTGGTATATAATAATGAATAAATAAATGAATTTCAAATATTGACCAAGAGTTTACTCATTAAAACATTTTCTTACTAAGAGTTTATGATTTAGATAATTTTGGTTGAGATATATGTTTGAGAAATTTTTATAATCTCAAAACAACATATGAAATTTACAAATTTATATAATCTAATTATTATTCTTTTTCAATGTTTAAGCTAAAATTAATTTTGAGTGTATGATCGCATTTGCCCCCGACCAGTCAAGTGGGGAACGGATCAGGTCAATAACATTAGGGTGAGTAACTATGAGTAACTCGTCCACATTAGCATGTCATCAACATCCCTCTCTCTCATGAAACGCCTTTTATCTTTTCTCATTTAATCTTTAATGGACTATTCTCTCTCGTTTTAAGTTGGAATTTATTTATTTATTTCACAGATAAATCAGATTAATTGTGATTTTTAAAATGATATCCACTTCGATATATTTTTATAACAAAAAAAATTGAGCCATTTTTTACTAGTCAATACCATATGGTATTAAATAAGAGCATACTATATGGTAAGAAAGCGGACCATGATGGTATGAACATACCAAGACTGTAGGAAGGTTGAATACATGATAGTAAGAGTATACTAAGTGTCATTTACCACTTTCATCATTGTTTACCACTAGGGGTGTTTGTTCACATCCATTAAATCCGAACCCGACCCGAAACCCGACAAAACCCGAACCCAAAATTGTTGAAAACTGAACCCGAAACCCGAAAACCCGAACGCGTAAGAATACGAATTGAGTGCAATTTCTTGGAGGTTCAAATTTAATTCACATCCATTAAATCTGAATTTTCTGAACCTACTTAAATCTAAAGGTTCGGATTTAATTATTCAGTAGTCAAGTGGTAATCTCTCAAATAGCACTCATTCAACATGTTCTGTTACACCAACACTCTCTCTCTCTCTCTTACTTTAATTTAAAAGTTTTTCTCTGCCCTCTCTCTTCCTCAACTCTCCAGTTCACCTTCCCAGGGGTTGCCACCGACACCTTTTGGTGACCGGCGGTAGCCCATTGATCCCTCTTTTTCCATGCTTCCTTTTCAAGCTCTCTTGCCTATGTTTTAGGCATTTTTCATCGGATTTCCAGCTTTATCAGCTTTTTCAGCCTATGTGGCTTTTCAATGTTCTCTGTTATAGGGTTCTTGTTTCTGGGTTTGCTCTCCTTGGGGCTGGATTTTGCATATTTGGCGTCTCTACCAGACTATATATGTGTGGTGGTTGTCCCTCAAGATAGTGGTTTTATCTTTCTTTTGGTGAATCCATTCACTGTTTTCCCCCTTTGGCCTCTGCTGGTGGTTTAGATCCGCCTCTTTGTCGTCGTCGTTGGGTGGATGACGGAGTCTGATCCGGTTGGCTGTGGTGAAGGTGCTTGGATTTTGGGGTGTGGGTTATCCTGCTCGCCTTCACCAAGATTTGGTTCCTTGGCTCCCTCTGCTTCTTCAGCTCGGAGCAATCTGAGTCTCATCCCTGACCACCGCCATGTAATCCCACATCTGAGATTCACTGTGTTGAGCGTCTTCGAGCGACTCCCAGGAGGCGGCTTATGGCATTGCTGTGTTCAATAGCCATGGTTTCGATCGGATCGGACGAGCTGACAGTGCTCGGTGCTACTTTGTTTGGTTTGGTTGCAAGAGAGATTTTTGTGTTTACTGGTTGTGGATCAAGTGTTTCAGACCCAATGTAGGGGTTGGTTCATTTGGTGTTCTGTGCTTCCCTTTTTCCATCTCTGAAACACTGTTTGTTTCAACTTTTGCTCGGAGATGTTTACTCCTGCTCTGATTCTGGTTTCCTCTTTGATTTCTCTTGTAATTGATCTTACAAAGAACAATGCAAGTGATCCCATTGTAAAAAAAAAAAAAAAAAATAGTCAAGTGGTACTATGTGGTAGCAGGTAGGGGGTGGCCGTTCGGTTATAACCGATAACCGATTGGCCGATTATCGGTTAACCGAAATAAATACCCTCCTTACCGAAAACCAACCGAAATAAGCTTCGATTTCTCGGTTAACCGAACCACTTTTAAGACCAACAACCATTTTGGCCAGCTTCCGATAACCGACCGAAATTCGGTTACTTCGATTACCGGTTAGTGGATAACCGGCCGGTTAACCGACAATCGATAACTGAACTGCCACCCCGGGAGCCAAAATGTCGCAATTTTGCCACCTTTGGAGTGGGAGTGGGCGGGACCCACAAACAGCTGGCGAACTTTTAGGTGGGAGGATTTATCGACGTGTACGGATATTGCCCACTCGAACCTAAGACATCCGTAAGTGCATGCTTTCCATACTATCATCATTCGTCCATTCTTCTTCCTTTTTTTTTTAACTCTTTTTAAAATAAAATTGAAATCCGATATTCAATAAAATATAATACTATATTTATATTTCCCCATAAATACTATATAATAAAACGCAAAGGGACAAAAATCCCATGACTGTTTCTCTCACTGTCGAGTCTGGGAACTCCCCCCACAAGAAATCAGTAGTACTGCTCCTACCTTGTAGCAATTTGGAATTTTGTTGTTATTTATTTCTCTGTTAATTAATAATAATAATGTTTTATTATTTTTTACAAGTTGTTAATAATAAATAAATAAAATGTTTCGGTTGTGCTCCAAGTTCACACTTTCATTTTTGTTTCTACCAGCTCCTTTTTTTTCCTTTTCTTTCTTCTTATCCTCCGCCAACCTATTTCATCGAGTAAAGAGACAAGATGAAGGATCGTAAATTACCTGAGGAAAATCTAAAACTATAGGCGCAAAAAAATATCCGAACTAAATTGTCATTTTCAGTTGACAAACAAAGCAGTATATAGCGATTTGTTTAATCATGAAGGAGAGTGTTTTATTTGGTGCGATGAGGTGCAAAATCAAAATGGTGCACTTGTTCTACAATTTCCACAACAAAGGTGGAGTTTAGACGACTCCTCATCATTCATCAATTGGCTCTAATCATCTCAATCTGGTCAACGTGGTTTCTCATCTTTCCTTTTCTCATGTCACTCTCGAATTTGTGATATTTTGATTTTATTTCATTTAATAAATAATTTAACAAACATTGTTATTTAATCTTAAATCTTATCAAGGGCTGATAATCGGTTCGATTCGGTTATAAGCGCAACCGTTTAGTCGGTTATAGATTAATCATTAAATACTTTATGCTCACCGTTAACAACACCATTTAAATTATTCGGTTAACTGTAATCGTATAGTCGGTTCTCGGTTATTTTATCGGTTAACGGATAACCGTTAACCAAGTGATTCGGGGGGGGGGGGGGGGGGAATCCTTAATTGCCTAAGTTTCAAAATAAAATTCCCATAATACCACACTTTAAAAAAATCCCAAAATGACCAAGTTTGGTACGGTTCGCCACACAAACAAGCGAACCACATAAAGGTTCATAATAGAGAGTTTGTTAACGCATTCACCCACTTGGCGAAAGCACGTATATTAAATGAGGAGTTTGAGAGGCGCTGGGAGCGTTTGATTACTAAGCATGGTTTGTCTGCAAATAAGTGGTTGCAGGATTTGTACGCTGACAAATTACTTTGGGCAGATGCATACTTGAAGGATATTTATTTTGGTGGACTCCAATCATTCTCACGTTGTGAGTCATGTAACCATTGGATAAATGGGTATGTGGGTACACAATACAGGGCATTGATGAAGCACTAAAGGGGATGCGTTTCACGAAGGTGCGGAATGATTATTCTTCTAGGCACACGAGGTTGGTCTGCAAGTATGCCCTTCGCACATGGGAAATGCAAGCTGAAAGTATCTACACACATCGTACATTTTCTATCTTCAAGTCTGAACTAGAGAACGAAGATTCTTATGTATTAACGAAGACAACAACTAAATCAGATGGGACAGAGACATTCATTCTGAAGAACTGCATGAACCCGAATCGGATAAAGAGGTTAACATTTACTACGACCAATCAACATCTAAATTGTGAGTGTGCATTATTTGAATCTAAGGGGTTTTCATGCAGACATATGCTTACGGTCATAAAGAATAAGGGATTTACAGCACTACCCTCGACGTGGCTCAAGTTTCGATGGACCCAAAATGCAAAGACACTATCTCGTAATCCTGGAGCTGGAGGTGATGTGGCAGAGAAAGTTGGTCGACTGATAAGACATGAGGAATTGTCTCTAAAGTGTAAGTATTTGTGTGACATCACGTGTGGTAGTGAAGCTTCTTTTAATCATGCCTCTGAGGCGTTGGACGACCTTACTCAATGGGAAATTGAGTTCTCGAGGGCGAGAATGGACACCACTGCATCTGCAAACCCTCCAACACCCCCTTCCAAGTATAAAAGACCCAAAAATGGGAAGACCAAGGGAACATTCAAGTCAACACGAAGTGCATCCGGCAAAAGCATAAGAAAGTGTTTGAAACGGGTACCCAGTCTCATTTGGAGAGCAATCTTCATCCCATATCCCAAATCCATACTGGTTAACGGGTACCCATTTCCCATACTGGACGGATAACGAATACCCGTACTACCCGTAAATACCCGTCCAATCCGGCCAGCTTCCACCTTAGACCTCTTATTGTTCATAACTTAGGAAACACAACAATGCTCACAAGTCGCAGTGGTAAGAGGTATAATGGTACTAGTCAAAACCCAAGCCAACTCCAAAGGTCACACCAATAGTCCCAAGTCCCAACCAAACAGCTAAACACCCATAGACCACAGTCTCTCTCTCTCTCTCTCTCTCTCTCTGCCTGATTAATTAGTGATTCCGCCCCGGCCGCCCTCCTTCCACAGTGCTAGCCACGCCAAACAAATGCAAACACCACTCCCCTTGCTTTCACCTCTCTTGCTCTCGCTCTTCTCCACTCTCCTACTTCCTCTCTTGTTCGCTTTGCTCCTACCGTCCGCTCCTCCTCTTTCTGTCCCTGCGTTCCTCGCCATGGATGCGCCCTAGACGGCTACCAATTTCCCTTTCACTTTCCCCCCTCTTCCATTTTCATATATATCCATCCCCCCTCCCCCAACCTCCCTTCCTCTCTTCCATATTCTTCTCCTCCTCCAATCTCTCTGTCACAGCTCCACCGCTTCTTCCTTTTGTTTTCCCTCCCTTGATAGTGAAGCAATGTTGGTGGATCTCAACCTCAGCGTCGTTTCCCCTTACCCCGGCGAGATGGACGGCGGGTGTGGCGGGAATAACAGAAAGCGGGGTCTGGACTTCTCGTCGTCTAACAACAACAATCAAGTGGAGAGCTCCGGGAGCTTCGATTCCTCCTCCGTCGTCAATGTCGACCGGAATGCCGGCAATGCTGCTGCTCCCGGCGACGAGGACTCCTGCTCCAACACGGGCGACGATGTGTTCGGATACAGCTTCCGTATCTTGACGGAGCAACAGCGGGACTTGAAGAAGATGATGGCACTTGAGGATGAGCAGAGTAATGATAATAATAATCATGATGGGACTATTCAGCTCTTCCCCGTAGGCGGCGGCGGCGGTGGTGGGGGAAGGGGAGGTGGAATCGACGCGCTGGCTCACTGTTTGCGCTCGAGGAAGCAGTGGCTGGATCTCGGTGGGAGGGAGGTTGAGTATGGCGGTCTGGCGGAGAAGATTGTCGCTCAGGTTCAGCAGCAGCAGCAGCAACAGCAGAAGCCTCCGGCGAAGAAGAACCGCCGCGGTCCTCGCTCCAAGAGCTCCCAGTATCGCGGCGTCACGTTTTACCGGCGGACCGGCCGCTGGGAATCCCACATTTGGTGAGTTCTCCCTTCGCTAGTTCGTTGGTTAATCCGATTGATCTGTTGGGTGTTTCTGTCACCGAGAATTGACGATTGGGGTTTCCTTCTTGTAGGGATAGCGGGAAGCAAGTTTACCTTGGGGGATTCGACACTGCTCATTCTGCCGCTAGGTAGCCTCGAACCAGCCATTGTTGGTTCATATTGTTTTCTTGATCACGTTGCTGACTTCTGGCCCAATTTTGATGGTTACTTCAGGGCGTATGATCGAGCTGCGATCAAATTCCGTGGAGTCGATGCTGATATCAACTTCAATGTCAGCGATTACGATGAGGATATTAAGCAGGTAGAGACTTATTATGATCTTTTGGCTGGGGTCGCAGGACTGAATTTCCTTTGGTTTACAATAGGATCAGTTGCTAAATTGGGGTTTCTGCTCCTGGGTTTGATTGGAAACAGATGAGCAATTTTACCAAGGAGGAATTCGTTCATATCCTTCGTCGCCAGAGCACTGGATTCTCAAGGGGAAGCTCCAAGTACAGAGGAGTGACACTCCATAAATGTGGGAGATGGGAAGCTCGAATGGGCCAGTTTCTGGGAAAGAAGTGAGTGGCCACTCTATCCCTTTCGTTCAGTTTCTTTGATGATTACTTGATTCTGGATTGACATGGATGCCTTGTTTGATTGGTGCTTCGGACCATCGATTCGTGCACTTGCTTGCTCATTCTAGATATAGTAGAGGCTTCTATGAAATGAAACTGAGAATTTGGAAGAATGAAGAGAAAGATAAAAGAGTGCTGCTAGTTGGGGACCTGGTTTTTTTTATTGGGGTGGTAATTTGATTCCTTGACCTGCAGGTACATATACCTTGGCCTTTTTGATAGCGAGATAGAAGCTGCGAGGTCCTTGTTATGAACCATTAATCGGATCTTAGAGTCGTCTTAACAATCTTGACTGCTTGTAACCTTAATTTTTCCAACTTGGGATTGAGATGGTTTTGGTTGGTTTTTCTCTGGAAACCAGGGCCTATGATGAAGCTGCCATCAAATGCAATGGGAGGGAGGCTGTCACCAATTTTGATCCCAGTTCATATGATGGAGATATCACATCTGAGGTGATCAAGCCTGAAGGTACTTGTAATATGCTTACTACGACATCTAATTACTAGATAGATACCGAATCCCGTTGATTATATTACATATGCTTACAAGAATCCTCCATGATTCTTCTGTGACAGATCAAAGTCTTGATCTGAACTTAGGCATTGCACCTCCTGATGCAACTGAATCCAAAAGGCTAAACAGCAGTGTAGGTGGTGGCTTTTGCATTCCAGGTGGCCTGGATTCTATGTGCTTGGACAAGATCCCCAGGGTAATACTCTATACACTTCCACATCAACATCGTCTGAACAATCGATATACATCTTAAAGAATTTTGGATAAAAAAGGGTATTGAATATTGTTTGCTCTCTTTTGATTTGCAGATCTTCAACTCTACTTCAGCAGCAATGAACAGTCATCAACTGTCCCGTGGTCCTGCCATGGGGGCTGGTCCAAACCCCGGTTCCTTTCCTATCTCTAAGGTGATTCTTCCATCTTCTGCTACGTTGATGCATGTAATTTTGCTTGACTGAAACTCTCGGCCTAGCTTCTATCCGTTGGTTAAGGTGGATCTTAACTGAGATGTCCCCATTTTTGGTTTAAAATTATGAAAGCAGGAAAGAGCAATGGAGAAGAGGGTGGGGATGGACCCTATGCTAAACTGGGCATGGAAAATGCACAGTCCATACGGCAGGGAAAACATCGCACTGCCATTCTTCTCTACTGCAGCATCATCAGGATTCGTCGCTTCTTCGACAGCTACTACGACTACTACTACTACTACTGCACCGATTTCAGCTGCAGCAGCTCCACAACTTCACTTCCCAAAATCGACCATCCTCCACCACCATTACTCTCCTGCGTCCGGCACCATCTTCTGAGTTCTATAGCTAGCATGGAACGGGAGAACATGATCTCAGCTGGAAGTTTCATCGACTCGTCTAACATTTTAGCCATAAGTATCAGAACCTCCTTCTCCTTTGTCTCCTCAATTTTTACTAGGGTAAAAAGCTGAGAGAGTGTAATTTGATTGGTACGCTCCAACTCCAATTGCAACTATGTTCTATGTAGGAGAGATGTAATTTTCCCCCTCACCCTCCAATTATCCCCAGCTTTTTTTGCAAAGATCCTCTATCACAATTGGAACATTTTTTGACCTTCGCGGCTCTGTGTAAATATATGAATCAATTGTCATTTCCCACCTACTGTTCGTCTGTGCCTGCATTCTCCACTACAGGGGTTATAACATCAATTGCAAATGCCTTCTCTTCCCATCAAAGGTAAGATAGCCTAACGGTAAAGCTGCCGTGACAGTGAAGGTTTGAGAGTTGCAGATCCCAGGTTCGAATTCAAACGAGGCTTGTTTGTGTTCCCGAAGGTATAAGGCTGTTGAGGACGAAGCTCCATTGGCGTCGAATCGAGTGCAATCTCATCGTTTTCGGGTGTGACCCTTGCGTTGCCGCTGATCTAGACGACTAGAGCGCCCCCGCTAATTCGAATCCCCTTGCTTCCTTCAATGGCTTCTTTCTTTTGATTGTGGAACCAGAGGGGGAAAAGAGATGGTGCGGAGAAGAGGGGTCGGACCTCCTTTCCAGAAGAAGAAGAAAAGAGATGGTGCGGACCTCTTTTAATTAATAAGTTATAAAGGTTGACCGGCTGATGTGACAATTTTCGTTGACTACTACGTCATAATATCTCTTACACATCTGCGTAGGATCTGCTAACTCACCATCATCTAACGAAAGTGTTAACAGAGACTTAACTTAACGGTTGGCTAATAATTTGTATTTCGATAATTGTGACTATTATTTCTCGTTGCTTAATTGTTCTACCTAATATATTGTATTTAATTATGTTAAGAGTAACGATGAAGTAATTTTAGTTTGATTATAGAATACAAGGGCAAGACCGAAAATGGACAAAAATGAATTTGAGAGGTATTTTCCGGGGAAATTAATGATGTAGACTTCTGCTTGTTCATACTTTTTTTTGGGATGTCTTCTTATTCATACTTGTTGGTTTGTTGCTGTGCCAAACCAATTGATCGCTACATTTTTGTTAATCATGAATCTTGGGCACTTGTTTTGGCCAATACCAGTTGGGAAATTCCTATAATACTTTAAAGTTATTATTGTAACTTGATGTTTTTACATGTTATAACAGGTTTCACAAGTCATATTATGTACAAAAACAATAGGCATTACGTAATGTGTGTTTATCTTACGTAATATTTGAAAAATATCATTACGGAAATCTTATGTAATAGACACTCATTTTACGTAATGAACTTGTTAATATTTTTAAAAATTTGATTTAAAAATGAAGGTTGTCCAAAGTGATATCAAGGTGGTAAAGAGTGTTATCGGCCGTATGAACTTTTTTTCTTCCATGTTAAACAAACAAAAAAAAAAATACTGGCCGATTATAAAAAACTAGAAAAATAAAAGGGCTTTTAATATCACCCTTTAGTTCTTACACAATACACACTCAAAATCCAGATCACGTTAATACGTTATGCACCGGACCCTAGACCAATATTATGCGATTACATCTCATTTTTATCAATATTTTCATAGTTTTCCATTCTAAATTCAGACACACTAATGGTGGTGGTAGATCGAAGCATTCCAATAAGCAGAATTTGCAAAACAAAACAAAAAATGCTCTTAATCCCGTGCTAGTCAGTTAACCAAAAATTATTTGGTGACAACACTCAAACAATGCTAAGATATTGGTTTCACAATATACTGTGCCCATTGGAAAATGTTGTTTGTGTCACATACTCAGAGTTGCCCGTTGATCACTGAAATATTGTCTAACAGTGAGTAAGAGGCTTTAATAGATAAATTGAAACTTGCAAATCCATTTATCTAAGCTTATAGAAATTTATTATTATTATTATTATGAAATCGTTGGTATGACTGTGTGGCATGCAAAAGGCTGTTGTACCTTTCAACGTATCAACAGTGCCAGTAAAAGGACTAGAAAAAAAAAAGAAAGAACACAGTGGAATAATTGATGGCGACTTTGAGAATTGTTGCCCAAATTTCAATTACCCAGCAAACACTACAGTACAGCTGCGGAACCAGGCTAATCAAACAGAAAAACAGAGCCCACAGTTGGCACCCTTACTTCTTTCTTCTACATCGATTTAATCCAAGTTAGACTCTGTTTTAAGGGTGTGAATGTGATGTGATATTACTTATTAGACTGACCATTGCATTAATAACGATTTTTCTTTTATCGGGCAGGACAGCAAACAGAGAGAATTTTGTTCATGTTGGCTACTTGATGTATAGCTTGTCTTTTACTGCATTAATTATTAAACCAGTTTTTCTTATCACACCAATTGACCAACCCAGATTATCAGATTATGGTGCTCGCATGTCCTTTGTGAGGACGTGCTTACAGACGTTTGACGTTACTGGATCGATCGTATGTGATCGGCAACCATTGAGTAGATGTGGCGAAAAGACGGAGGATAACAATATTGTAATTTATTGATGGAGTTTTAGTAGACGGTGAGAAGGGATCGAGCGGTGGAGGAACTTGAACACTCTCAATTATCCAATATAGCATCTGACTTCCAATTTTATTATTGTCACATTGAGTAGAACGTCACTAAAATGCTTGGGCGTGAGACAACTGCTAGCCATAGGCGCCTTCATTGAACCAAGTGGGACCAACATACTGCTTCCCACCTATGATGGGATGATAAACCTCAAAGATCACCTCAACAATTACTTCACCATATGCATCTCTATAATATCTCTAATGTCACGCTATGTAGAGATTTTATCTCTACCTTCTTCACTGACATCCTCGAATCGTATCACCATGTCGAAGAGGGATTCATAGACTGTTTTGAGAAGCTCACACATTGTTCCTCTCCAAGTTCACAAGTTGAAAGCGCCAGAAGCTAATTATAGGTGTACTCTTTAAGGCCAGACAAAAGTAAGGTGAGATGCTAAGAGATTTCTATGAAGGGTATTCATGGCCATGACAATTAAAGACATCCAACCCCCAGTAATGGGATTCTGTTTGAAGAATGTACGGTGAGTGAGGATTTGTGTCGCCCCTTCTCTGAAAGGGACATTTAGACCATCAAGGAACTTGACAGAATGGTGCAGAAGGTGATAATGCTCGAAAAAACCTTGGTTGTAGGTGGTTAGAAAGGCATCAAAGAAAATGGAGGAAGCTAAAAGGGGGTTCACATAAGACCACACTTGCCCCTCAAGCAGTGCCATAGAGCAAACTTGAGCTGCTTCGAATTCTTAGGCACTCAACCACAACGTTCACAAAGCTAAATAAATCACTTAAGAACTTGTTGGTTGTTGTCAATGATAAAGGGTACCTCATATGATGGTTCGGGTTGATGCGTGAGCACCTAATGTGTGCAACTTCGATTGATATTGTGATTACCATAGAGAAAGAGAGCACCATAGTGCATAATGGTACTACTCAAGATAGAGGTGCACAACCCTGATTGATAGGGGGATGTTAACGATTATTTTATGGGATACATTGTAAACGACTCACTTAAGAGTGTAAACAATGAATGTATTTTGCATTTCTTTCATTATATGAAAACTCGTCGTGGTTATTTATCCACACAATAAATGCATTAGTCAGTTTTTTGTGTTCTCTATGAATGAATTATTTGGGTATTATTAATTTTAATTAAAATTTATTAAATTTTAAATTTATTTGTTTGTATTCTTCGGTAAAGATATTTGTTTGTATTCTGAATAGAGGATAGGTGTAGTTTCAAATCCTGTCTCCAGTCTCCACTACGGAGAACGGGTCATATCAGATGATACCCATATGGGTATTGATTCAGATAAGTTGAGTTATTCTCATATGGGTATTGAAACGTGGAATGAAGGGAAAAGAAGACATTGATCTATCGTTTAGGCACCCAAACCAAACCGTTCATATGTAAAGAGGAGCCACACACACCCAATAGTCCCTCCGGTTCTAAAGCAGACATTGCAATACAGCCTTGCCCTGCCAGCAGCAAAGCATATCTATGTTTCTCGGCCGACAGAATGATGAACAGTCATACGAAATCGACCCATCGTTTTCACAACGCCTTTTTTACACACAGTTGGAAAGCTGGGAGGGGGAGCGGGAAATTACCCCAGAGACAAACATATGTGTCCTCTCTGGGTTCCTTACACGTGTAGTCCTCTGGTAATAATTGAATTGTCACCATCGCCAATTCACCCCCCACCATCATATTAGCTAGCGGGCGTCCCTTTTAACCACATGCTCTTCGTCTCTCAATGGCGTTGTTATACGTTTGTTGAATCCGTATAATTGTCTGGAAGTCAAGAAAGTGGCTCCTTTTTTCATAAATGAGATGTATGGTAAAGTAGTATAGTGTGAAAGTGTGATGATGAGGTGACTTTCACGCTACTTATACGTATAGATTGGGGCTGGAAGGCAAAAGGGTGCTGCCCTTGCATTGATCAGTCATTCTCTCTCTCTGTGGTAATATGATGTCCCATGCGTTGATTGAAGGAGGAATTCTGGATGCATGAAATCGTGCGAATTCCCAGCAGCACAGGCATGCATATGCAGGCTGCAGTGCAGGGAGGGAAATGTTATATATGACATAAGATTACCCAAACCAGCCGTACGGTGATCTCAAAATCAAGTGGCCTCAAGATTGATAAAAGAAATGGCCTTCAAGTCTGTCTCTTAACCCCTAAGGGAAATGGACCTCAAGGCTTTGGGATAAGTAAAAAAGGGAAGTAGAAAACGACAAACTAATTACCAGTTAACTCACTTCCCCTATTTTTCTTCTTGTTTGAGCCACAACACCCACCGGAACACCTGAAACTTCTCTCCGACTGGCGCCTGCCTACACACACACGAACAAGGAGGGGGCGCCCGGGCCCGTTAATCCTCCGACGCCCAAGTTAGTTTCTTAGAGAGGGAAGTGTCCCAAAGTAAGAGTTTTTGTGAGAGAGTCCGACCTGTGTAAATGCTACCAACTGCCTGATGGAAACCTACTTTTTAGGTTAACCATAATTATCAATATTAATATTATTAGGATTTATCTAGATATGGTAGTAGTCTTTGAGTCATATTAGGATAGTCTATTAGGTTTTCCAGTCTTTCGCTATATATATGTACTTTGGGTCTTTTGTTGAATTAAGCAGAAATCAATAGAAGAATTATCTTCCTAAACCCTAAGC